ATTCTGGGAGTTGAAGTCCACTCGTCTTAAAGTTGCCAAGGTTGAGAAACACTGATTTAGACTGTGTGATGGTCTCTTGTGCAAATCCGGAAAATGGGTTAATTTAGTAGCTAGATTAAATGCACTATGTGAACTCCCATACCCACTGGACTCTGGGTGGGTATGGGGGCCTGATCCTCTGCCTAGGGTGTGTTATGACCTCCCACTTCAGCTTATGGGACGGCTATTCCATCTCTCCAAACATGATCCAAGCCTTCTGTGAGCTGATTGATGCTATAATGCTCAGCTCCCCCATATATTCCTTTGTTTGCAGGAATGTGAAAACCATCCTTGCTGTGAATCGGATTGCACCTTGAAAAGAGGAATGCAGTGTGCCCAAGGAGACTGTTGTTGGGAGAGAAGATGCAGGGTAAGTGCCAGTTAAAATGGTGCTCATGCTCCTTTGTCACCTGCATCACAGGGCTTCCACTGCACAGGCGTGGCCACCATTTTGGCTTTTTTGACACCCCTGCTCCCCAGTAGATGCCCCTGGTGTCAGTCAGGTACACCCCATTTCCTTCAACAATGTAAAGCAGGGGTACCATCTGGTGCTCCAGAACATGAGTGTTTGCCAAGTGGACTCTTCTTCAAGCATTTGAAGCCAAGAAGCCTTCATATGATGAATCGGCTAAGATCACCTTCTTCTTCCCACTGATCTGAGAGAAAACTTTATAGAAGGTACTAAGCCTTCCAAATAAGCAGAGATTCGTACGGTACGATTGCTTTGAATCAGGTGGCAATCCTGCAAATTCTATCAAGTTACCCAAGGGGGCCAAAGATTTGTTGAGGCATGAAGGAGTGAGAAAGACCAGGTACATTCTAAATCAGTGTTTCTCAAACATGGCAACTTTAAGAGGTGTGGGCTTCAACTCCCAGAATTCCCTAGCCAGCATCCTGGGTGGGGAATTCTGGGAGTTGAAGCCCACACATCTTAAGGTTGCCAAGTCTGAAAAAACAGTGTGGCCAAAAGTCAAGATGGTGGCCATGATGGTGTGATGAAAACTCCACGTGTTTTTTATGTGCAGAGCTTTGATCACACTGTCACAGTTCCACTTGACTTTTTTTTAGTCATACCCTGTGAATACCCCTGTTTACATCCATAGGAATCTGGCCTTCTGATTTCTGATGATGTCAAGTTGCACACTTCGACATTGTGTCAAGAAGCCCTTCCTTCTCCATGCAGGAAGAAGCCCGTCTCCCTGCATGGATTTCACAGATGACCCCCAAGCTCTAACATTATGAGAGAGCAAAGCGTCTCTCCATCTATTTCACATGATTTTATGTTACGGAAGTGCCCAGACCAGCCACAATGACATCATGAGTATCATGAAGTTGTTGAATGGATTAGGTCTATTATGTAATGTCACTAGTGCAAATTACATAATTGGGTGTCACTTGCACGATGATTCTGTTGATGTCCCCTTGCTCCTCTGTAGACACCAGTAACCAGTGCTTATTTTCTTTTGCATAATGGTCGCTTTCCTTTCTGTGTTTGATGGGGGTAATGAAACAACTCAAGAGGAGCTGCAGGACTTCACTTCCCAACACTTTGGTGCCACACTTCTCCCTCATATAATGCGCAGCTTGATTCCTGGTTCAGGTGGATCACAGGAACTCGGGCTGGAGTCTTTGTTCTTTCTGTCTTCCAGCTGAAGGCAAGAGGTACCTTATGCAGACAACCGCCAGACGAGGACTGCGATCTCAAGGAGTTTTGCAATGGGACCTCAGCGGAGTGCTCGGAAGATCATTATGTCCAGGATGGGCAGTGGTGCGAAAGGGAAAGCGGGGTTTGCATGAGAGGAGTGTGCCAAAGTGCGGATCGATGGTGCCGAAAAATATTCGGACAAAGTAATAAAAAATGTTTCTCTCCCTTTAACCTCTTTGCTTTCCATCTTTGTTCTTTTCCACTGTGTTTTTGTAAATGAAAGTAGAACTGACTTTGGGATAGAGAAGGAATGAGCAAGCCATTGGGGGGGACGGTGGGGGGTCTTGGAGATTACTCAGTCCTGAGATAGAGGGAAAGGGGAGAAAGAAACTCAAAATAAGCCCACCTTGATTGGGCAGAGAGAAATGTGGGCAGGCGTTCTACCTTGCTGCAGTGAAGAACTTTCCTGGAATCTGCCATCCCTGTGTCTTGACCTGGTCCACCTCAAGGTCTGATATCAACCCTCTCTGTTTTTCTCTGCCCTATCTTATACTAATCAAAACAAGCAGGGCTATTTTGAGTTTCTTTCTCATGTTTCCTTCTTTCTCAGCACTATGGTGACTTTTCTAAAAGTCTCCCTACCCAACTCCCAACTCCCACCCCAACATCTCCCCTTTCTTCTCTATCGCCAAGGTCAGCTGTATGTTCCTTTACATTTCTATTCCCCCCCCCCACTCTTGTCTCATTTTTCAATCTTTTCTGCCCTTCAAACTTGGAGGTGGGGGTGAATTTCAAGGGACGCAAGCCAGACTTCTTCTTTAGGGCCAGGGGCATCTGTGGGATGTGTGTGTGTGTGTGTGTGTGGCGGGGGGGGGGGGGGGGGGGGGG